TTCTGTTCAAACCTACGTCATTCTTTTTAATTAAAATGAATGAACACGTTTTTTTCGACCAATTAAATTACAACTAAATATATCACCACATTAAATACGTCAACGTTTTGGGTAGTAAAATCATTTTAAGAAGTTTATAACTTCCAAAATAAATTATAGATCATTTTAAACGATCATATTTTTTCATTTTCATAGCTACAATCATTACTGGGTACACATCATTGATATTTAAACACATAATAGCTTTTGAAATTGACCTTCAAACGTTTAAGAACAAAAAGTTATTTACTTCACGAGGTGAAATATATTAATGATACCAATGAAAATCATTTTAAAATCTACTGCCCCCAAATGCCCTGGTACGGCCGAGTGTGGGGAGGGCCTGCCCTCACTTTCGAAATCTTCTCACACGGCCACGCATATACAGCCATTGCCAGGGAAGTCCTACTCACTGCCTTCTCGATGTGGGGGTGTTGTTTAAGAAATTGAGAGGACGAAAAGAGAATGTCTGGCGCTTTAACCGGGTTGGTAGACACGGAAAGTTCATCTAGGGGGATTAGAAAACCCTGATTTCAAACCAAAAGTGCACATGGGCTCCATTATCCTGAAAGAACAAATGGCGTATGAACCAATCGTTGGTCACCAGCTACCATGGGAGTGCATCTCCTCACGGTGCCACACTACCTTGTGGATCAGACCTGTAGGTCGAAGGCTCTGGGTGTGGTCCCTAAGAAAACCACCTGCTTCAGTCTGGGCATCCGGGCAGTATCACAGTTTTCACACATTTAAATGAAATGACAATTTTTTATGTGGCACATATATATCTGCCTCCCCGTTGTACCAATATTTATATATTCAAATAAATAAATATTCTGTTTACAGAAAACGAGAATAGAAAAATTGAAATTGTATAATTTTGTTAGATCAGATGTGTATAAAACATGATAAAAAAGAATTTTCAATAGAAATTATTTCTGTACATTTATTTCAATATATAAAAACATTGTGCGTGTATGTGCGCTTTCGTGTGTCCAATGATGATGTCGTTCAGAATAACGATGGAAGCTCCATTACCAAATCATCCAGCTCAGAGAATAAAATTCCATCAAAATCATCTACCTGAGCTACAAATATACTCCACCATCTCATGACCTGTACTTAATTATCTTACATAAAACATTTCAAAATATCATTTTCAAATCTTTAGAAGTCATTTATCATAGAAAAGGTTTTATAAACATTAATTCCTTATCACATTCAAGTACATATTTTGTGTATATAATGTGATAAAAGCGTGATAAAATAGAAATGTGCACATGCTCAGGTCTATAAGATTGTTTCAGTTAGTCGTACTACATTCCTATGGTACATTAATGAAGTATCAATAGAAAAATTCATTTGATTCATTTTGGACAAGTTGTCTTTCTTAGCTTGGAATAAAGACCAAATAGTTATTGTCTACTCACTAGTCATTGGTTGTTAGATGGTTTTAGTAAAGTTACAATGAATATGTAATTTCTGATTAAAGTTTAACCAGAAGTGATATGGTTAGCTACTGACATTACGAACTAATAAAAATCGGAAAATGTTGATAATAGGATTAAACTTTACGCACTTTTTACTTTAGAGGAGATGAGAGCAAAGCTCATTATTTACCATAGTGATCATAGTTATATTAAATTACATCAATATTCCCATATAACTGAAATTCTGTTACTAAACTCCGTAAAATATATGATGTCACTTTATTTCAAATTTGAGATTGTGAAGAAGATTTGTAGCTTGGGTGGATGATTTCGATGAAGGTTCATTCTCTGAGCTGGATAGTTTGGTTGTGGTGCCGATCAGGAAAATCATAGAATCATAGAATACTATGTAGCACTAGAAAGCTATTTCACTAAAGTATAAGAACCCTCAGGTACCATTTTCCTAATCTTAGGAAGGGATTACATCCAGGATTATTTCCAAACTCCTCGACCGAAACCCAATCCTTTGGTGATTTTAGTAACTGATCAACCCTTCAGTGCTGTAACCACTAATTATTATTGTAGAGGCAGTGTTACACTTTGTTTCGATATACAGGTTTTAATAGTGCCGTACTGAGAATTCGAACTACCGTATCTTAGAAAAAACTTTAGTAAAAAAAAGTGCCTTCACCAGAATACAACAGAATAACCGAAATTATTCGAACGAAACTTATTTCAAAACAAACTGAATATGACAATTTTGAAATTTGTCTCTTGACTGCACTTGACATTCGGCTAATCCCTATAGATATCCCGAAAATATTATACTCAGTAAAACTGAATAAACACTAAAGCAAATGTATTTGTCCTAGTTTAAAATATAAGTAGAATTATAACGTTTAAAGTTATCAGTAGTTTTATTGTTAAGCTTAATTTATTTACTGAGTTTAACATAATTGCACATTAAAATTATAGGGTCACATGGCCTAAATTTACTAAAATTCCCATATGTCTGTAGCCTTACCATGAAGTAACTTATAATTATTATTTGCGGAAATCTATTACTGACAAACTTTTTAGGAATGTATAGATTCCTTGCAACATACGTTTATGTTCACCCTTGAACTTCGCCGAACAGTGGCATCTATATACATATTGCCTATATATATATATATATATATATATATATATATATATATATATATATATATATATATATATATATATATATATATATATATATATATATATATATATATATATATATATATATCGTAATAATGATGGTTTACTAGCTTGTTACCGGAAGACAAAAATTGTAATATGATATGTTCAGTAGCAATGCTGCTGTTGAAATCCATTATTGCTAAAGGGCGTGGCACCAAGTTATATGTCCTAGTGGCCAGTTTAATCACTATGTAATAAAATTACTAGTTTTCAATTTTTTTTATTATGGATCATTTATTCTGTTCATCTTACACTCAGGTCATAATGTTTTACATAATATATGAACATATATAAATAAGTTAAACTGCTATGAACCAGTCAAAAGTGTTTACTCTCCGTAATAAATATTAAGGAAAAACATTTCAAGTATGAAATAACTGATATAATTTGTAAAACTAAGATGTATTCACATTCATAATAAGTCATGCGTACGGGTGAAGGAATCTTATAATAACTATAAAATGAATAAACCACACTTTAATCCGTATAATTCAATATTCAATAATAATCGCGTTGAAATCAAAATTATTTGTATCAACTAGCAAATTTCAGCTGTACATTGAGAATTTTATAGTTTAAGTAGATAATGAGTAAGGTGTAACTAAACAAAACATTTTCAAAACCTGCCAATCTCTATTAGCCTTTTTTTACGAAATGGCATATACATGTATCAAAAATTAGCTAAACCATAATTAATTTCTCAAGTATTCATCTGTTGGATTAATATATATGAATTTAGAGTTGTGTTTCAAGCATTTTATAGTTTATCATGGAGAGACTCTGAAAGATGTGGGAAGTTTTACTTATTTAGTATCATCGATGAACGTAGAGGATCCAATGCGGATGTAAAAACGAAAATTTGAAAAGTAAGGACAGTATTTTTACGGTTGAAAGAATATATGGAACTCAAAAAAACTATCAACCGACATCAAAGCCAGAATTTTCAAGACGAACGTCAAGACAGTTCTACTTTACGGAACTGAAGCTTGGAGAACTACCACAACTATCATCAAAAGCATACACGTATTTCTAAACAGTTGTCTACATTTGATACTCAATGTCCGTTGGTCGGATACCATCAACAACAGCCCAGTGTGGGAAAGAACAAACCGACTTCCATCCGAGAAGGAAATTAGGAAATGATGTTGGATGTGGATAAGACATACATTGGGGAAACCACCAAACTGTATCACGAAGCAAGCCCTAACTTGGAATCCTGAAGGGAAGCGGAAAAGATGAAGGCTGAAGAACACAATACGTCAGGAATTGGAAGCAGATATGAAAAGGATGAATAGCAACAAGAAAGGATTGCTCAGGACATTATTATCATATTTGCAAATAATAATATCTAGTGAAATTTTAACAGTTTGAATAGTTTAAAAAAAGCTCATAAAAATCACTTGCAGATATTCATGTTCATTTGTGTAAGTAAAAGACTTTGCATAATAATAATAATTTCATTAATTAAACATTAAAAAATAATAATAGTAATAGTACTAATAATAACAATAGTAATAGATTGTTTAGTCCTTCAAATAAGTGATAACTGATAGATTAATCCATAAAATGAATCTCTTATAACCCATTTTATTAAATATATTGGAATTCAAATCAGAGATGGAAGGTGGCTAACAGTAAGATCCACGACTAATATATCGTCCTATTTGGAACTAGTCAGCTGGATGTACCTTATAGATTGCAGTCCTAAATGCCTATAGGAAGATCTAAACAACCAATGTAAACTTTAGAGTTTTCATTAGAGAAAAACAACTTATTTGATGTTACAGAAAGCCATTTTTAATCTATGAACTTTGATTTGAAATAAATTTTTACTGGCATAGTCTTAATAGAATTTGAAGTGTTCCAGTAATCTGTCTTGCACTTTTACCATCAAGTTGTAATCATTTAATGTTCTTCGCTGGAGTTTATCTTTATTAAACAGTTTTGTGGCTTCTGTTGGGAATGATTTGAAATTTCTAACGACTTTTGTTACATTACATTTTAGTTGGAGTTTATATAGTACAAAATTGAATATATGGATCATCAAAAAAATCAAATTAGCTTAAATACCTCACTAAACATACTTGTGTATCATATAATTGGAATAAAGGACAACAGTAATGCAAAATTTCATGGTGAACATTAGACAGGAGAGCAGCTTTAATTCATGTTCCAATCCTCAAGATCTATACAAGCCCAGCCTATATTCTATGTTGTGTATTAACTTAAAAATCAACAAACCCAAAGTGATATGAATTTGAATAAACTTTTCATAACAATAATAAATGAAGAAATACTCTAACTTACAACCGAAAATTTTCATTCCAAACAGGATTTAGTGTTTGCTCTTTGACTTGAGTTGATTTCATTATTCCAACAGGAACATGTCCTTCTTTATTAACTACAGATTTAGACGATGTAGCACCAGACATTTTAAATGATTCATTATGAGATATATTCAGTTTCTCACTTTGGTTTGTTCGCTTATTAAAAGACTGACTAAAACGTCGAAATGATGAACGCGTAAATGTAACACGATTATTATCAAATCCCTTTTTTCCTGAAACATTTCGCATTGTTTGTACAGTTTCTAGATCATTTGGACTAAATGTTGTAGTTGTAGTATTTATAGATAAATCATGAGTTGTAGATTTTTCATTGTTACTCACATAACGTCCAAATATTATTCCTAGGATGCAATAAGGATCACTGAATCCTACAAAAACACAATACCAGAATAATTACATCATTTTAAATTATTCAATGGTAATTATTAAGCGTGTATTAAAAGGCTGTTTTATAATCAGTCCAGAAAACACCGTTGTTTAACGAATTATCCAAATATTTTATTTATACAAGAGAAAAATAGACATTACCTACATCGTTCGTAATAAAAACAGAATTGAATGATATTCTACATGAATTTAGTAATTAACGAAACTCAATTATTTTTGCATACAAGTTGAAGATGAACGGAATTTCATTTCTTTGGTGCTTTACTGAGAGGGCTCTCAGAAAAGATGAATTATATTGAAAGCCAGATCAAACGGACAGTATACCCAGTTTTGTGATTTGGTCCTTTGTTCAAAGTGGGAAAATTAGCTTACTCTCTATCCTCAATAATATAAATAATTTAGGCTGAAGATACTGTCGAGGACGAATTAGACGAAAAACAATAAATACTTTCGAAAATTTCTATTCCCTTTAAGTTAAAAGACGGAAAGCTACGACACAAATGAATAATGGAACACGTGTAGTACCCAAGAAGCTCTTATTTATAAACAACAAGATCATAGATGAAACTGCAACGGAAATTTCGATGAGTTGATTACCGTGTTTACTGAGTTTAAAGCTGTCTTCTTCAGCCGAAAAATGGTTCGCGTGTTTGGGAAGGATAAATTACTGTTTCGGGCTAACTTAATACACGTTTACCAGTTCACTTGCTCTTGCCAGACGGTTTGTATTGATTACACAAATGTATCACTGTTCTAAATGTATTTTCACGCACTATACTGCATGTTTGTCCATAAGCGAGTCGAAAACTACTGGTTGTTCAATTTCTAAGTACCTAGTCAACTCTAGTTATGTAGCCGTTTTATATTATCGAAGTATTTAAGTCAGAAATCTTTACTAAACAGACACATTGCCAGTTCACCATTTCAAACCAGATCTACATATTCAAAAACAACATTTACAAGCCATCATTTATTCTAAGTTTTAAAAAAACGGTAATTAATCTCTCCTAATTTTAGAGGACCTATACATCAAACTTCCTTTATCCGTTGTTCATTAGTAAATCTGTGGTGTGTGCTGCTGATGTCGACAGATATAAGTAGTATATATTACCAATCGAAAGTTGAATGCCTGGAGGTAGTAAGTTGAGAGAAGAGAACAAGGACAAAGAGTAGTTGGTATAAAAACGAAGGAACAACAAAGTTTGAGACAATTGATGGATACTTTGCAAATGAAGTATTTACTGTGTGGTTTTTACCAAGACATTCTGCAATGTTGTAATAAAATGCACCTGGTTGTCTCCACTTGTGTTTTCGTTCACTAAAGTTTCACTAGAGAAATAATTTCATAGAAAATATTTATCCAAGAAAATCTCGGTCTAAGGTAATCATTTTTTATAGCTTAGATGTCTATGTGCATCAAAAGCTAAATAATCATTTGTTAAATTTTCTGTTAGGACTACATGTTTAATTACCGTCGAAAAAATGTAAAGGCATTATGGGCTAGAATAATTAAATCATTCACTTACTTTTCTTACGTGTTTATTTTTTTAAAATTTATCTCTCCTAACAAATACATACTACACTCCTTACTATGCCATCCATACAAACGATCTAAGCGCATACTATTAGTTCATAATTAAAACATTTTAAAACAGACTGTGTAATTTTGAACGAATTACTTCCGGATTTCCAACAAATTAAAAAACTACTCATAAAAATACGTGAAAGCTAAAAACAAATATAAATTACATCTATGGTCATAAGGACTCTTCATCTTTTCCCTACGATATCTTACCCATTATTAAATGTACTGTAGCCAGACAAGCTTAAAAACATTCAATCCATCGAATCGTTTAGTTTTTTTTTTCTTAATGGATACGGATTGCTTTTTAGGAGAAAAAAACTGGAAAAATTTGGAAACGCCCTAAACTTGAACTCTGAACAATAATCGACATGTACTTATGTAAATGCGTGACAGAATGTTATCGATCACTGGAGACTGATTGATCACATTGACTCCATTGAACTGAGTGAGTTTATGCCCAAAAGAAGAAATTATTATCCGACAAAGATGTTTTCTGTATTTCGGCTAAAGCTTCTATGTACAGTTGTCATTTTTAGACCCAAAACTGTGGAAAGAACTTTCCTATGAATTCATCCACAACATTTATTACTAAAATGTCTTGGTGTTTCTTTTCTTAAACAAATATATATATATATATATATATATATATATGAATGTTTAATATTCATTAAACATTACACTGAATACAGTACAGGAAAACACTTACTAATCTATGCCATATATTACTACTGGATATTTGTCTTAGTTAAATACATATATATAGCAAGAATGTGATCAGGTAACTGATTAGTAAATCAGTACCGGTCTCATCTTACAACCTGCTTTACTGTTCACTAAACTTGCCAACTACGAAGGACATGAAAAATATAAATTTAATCTGCTTAATGTCTTTTTATCAACTCCCCAACAGTCATAAACTATGTTGTATTGTTATTAGGAACAATAAGTGAATGAATGACTAAAATGTAGTCTTTTAGTAATTCAAAAAAACAATTGAAATCAAATTTTGTGCTTGAATAGAGCCTAGAATATCGAAGTTAAAGAAATAAGTAAAATTGATATAATTAATGAATAAAATGTGGATTAACATTTAATAAAAAGAATGATGCAAATGAAAACTCCTAAGATAGTAGATTTATTGTTGTATAATTAAGATAAGCAACATAATTGAGGTTAATGTAGATCTTTTTTAACCTCCTTCTGAATATTATTGTTATGCTATGTGGCTAATTTTAACATAAACATTTTGTTGGTCATTTATCAATTAGTTAAAATTTCGAATGGCATTAATTCGTTACTGTGTTCATGTTATATCGGTTGCGTGCGTACGTGTGCCCTGTTTGATATATGAAGTGCTAATTCCCGCCAATTAGAGAGGAGTGAATTATCGGTCAGAGCAATGATATACAAAAAACCTTATGAGCGGTCTTGAGTACTTATTAGTCCTGCTTTCTGCCTAACCCAGCCAGTTAAGCCCAGAACACCAATAACAGCCTCTGCAAGATGAATCACTATTCTCAAACATACTGGGTTTATATACCAAACAAACTGACCACATCATACCATAAAATAGAAAATAACAGTTGTACAAGATTTAGCCAAATGGGACTGTGAATAGGGGAAACAGTAATTAATAAACTAGGGATAACTCAAGAATGGTAAATCGTATAATAATAGTCTATAGGTCAAAATAAAGCTTATAATAGAATGGACACGAATAAGAATAGTTTAGTTACTTAACAATTATACACTAGGAAATATATATATGACATTGGTCCATAAACAGTTCTGGAAGTTACCATTCATAAATCTCCACGGGATATAACATCTGCCTTTTTTCGAGAGATCAGGACTTTAAATTTCCCGAATTTAGCTCACTAGATATGTCTAGAAAACCAAACATATTATCTGATTTGTTTTTTGTCATCCTGATCGTTACGATAAAGACATATTACTTAAGTAGTATTAGGGTTTTTTCAATTATCAGTTTATTTCATATATTGAGGTAGCATTAAGTTCATGAAAGATCATGAGTAGTGTATTTTTTAGCCTCTGGTTCATTCTACCTGATACTTAATCCTACTGAATAAAATATAAATATGATAACAGATTGAATACATCATATTTTTATGTTGTCTGCTATCTATCTAATAACTTGATTATAGAAACTTAATTCTGTATTAGTTCGTCAGAAATTCATATTTTACGCTGAAAAATAAATCAAACACAAAAAAAATCTGTTTAATATAAGTAAACTCACCATTTAAATCTTTAGCTTCCAAATTTTTAGCTTCAATAACTGACACATTTAAAACTACGACAGGTGGCTACAATTATTATTCAAATAAAACATGTATAATATGAAAATATGCACCAAGGTAACTTTTAAAGAAAAAACAAAATAAGGAATTCATTGTAGTAAACTTGACAAAGATGATTTTAGCATAATAAAGTGATAAAACAAATTATTTATCCCTTTAACCAGTCACTATTTTCATTATATCACATTTAAACAGTATGTAATATAAAAATAGGTCTCTTTCCTAATTAGCAAGCTTTCTGTCTGTATGTTAGTTAAGGATTTGTTTCGTAAATTATATAGCACTGAATGTTATCATAGTCAACTGTATATTTTAGTATGAATTTTGAAATTGAAATACTGTGGTATATGCTACTTATTTTGAGAGATATACGTAGTATGCATCATCAACCGAAAGTGAAATACATAGTAGCGGAAGGTTAAGAAGATCGAAGAAAAAAGAACGAGAACATAGAATGATTGGTGTGGAAACGAAGGAATAATGAAGTCTGAGACAATTGTTTGACATTTTACAGAAGGAACAGTCAAGTTGAGACAACTGATTAATACTTTGCAAATGAAGTATTTACTGTATGGTTCTTAGATTTTACTATGATGTTCTGTAATGTTATGTTCAGATACACTCGACTGTCGCCATTTGTGTTCTCGTTCACTATAACAGTACCATATTTCAGTTTACTGTGAAAGATACTTTATTAAGAACTTAAACGCCATTCATAATTATATTGTTTACATTACTTAGTTCAATGAAATGAGATATTTATCAAAATTAGATTTTTGTTATACTATCTATTCTGAAAGTATTCGGGTATGATGATGTATCTTTTGTGATATTTATTTAGTGACTTATTTGTTAACAAAATGTTTTGATACATCTTTACATTAAAAGTATTTCTTTTTTATAAAGAAACTGATCATATTTTTTTATGATTTTTGTACTAGAGCTTATAAGAATCATTTGAAATCATTTCTGATGATTTTTCTAATCTATCGAATTTTGATTAAAATGAAGAAAATCAAGATATAAGCTACGTTTAATATTATCACAAGCTGTTATTGTGCAGATCATGAGTCAGTTAGAGCTAAAATACCATCGAACAATTGAAATGCCGGCTCAGTGATCTAGAGATTAAGATAAGTCCTGGATTCGACTCTCGCGAGCGGAATTGTGAATGCGCACTACTGAAGAGTTCCATACTAGAAAAAAATGGCCATCAAGTACTTTCGGGTTTTCCATAGTGATCTAGCCTTAATTGACTCATGATTTCAATGATTATATTACCGCTGAATATTTACTTTATGTCCAGTTTTACTAATATTAATTTATTTCAAATCACTTTACAAGATCTAATGCTTTACTAATCTTTTATTCATAAATCAAGGATGTAGTATTAAATTCATTAAACTTTTAACTATATTTCATATTTTTTAAACTTTAGTTGGTAAGATGTATCATCTACAAATACATAAGAAAATACCATTCCAAGGAAATGTTAAATAATAACAAAACTATTTTATCAACTAACAATTTTATGGTTGAAATTATGATTCATTCGAGATTAGACCACTATGAAAAAACCTGGAATCACTGGACGGCCGTTTTATTCTATGGTGGGACTTCAATGCCTTCAGGTTTTCAATGATGCGCTAGCTTCAATTGACTCATGACTTCAACTATATAAAATTACTAAAATCTCCACAAAACACCCTTTCTTACAACTAACAATTAACTCATGAAAATTTAATTTTGGAATCCTTTTTAAAGTTTCTTCACAATAAATAAATTATTATTATTTTTTTCTAAAAATATATTATAATTAAGTTTTAAATTCAACCCATAATAAGCAATTTTTTATCATTTTCACAATAACTATTACCATAATTATGTATTTTTCAACTAATAATTATTTGTTTAAATTACAGTTTTAATAATTTGGTTATATATACATTTTAAATAATGCTTAAAGATTATAGTTATGGGGTATACATTTTATACTAACCTAATTATGTCTTGAATGTTCATGTTTGTTAGCTCCTTTTTTGTTTTGTTTTGTTTTATTTCATAACATATCATTTACTCAATTATGATTATACTCAAACAAAAAAATGAATTATTTTTTTCAGTCCTCTATATCTCTTTTCAACTATTCATTATAATCATAGTTTATCTGTTTCAAAACATATTGTGGTGTGGTCTACTTATATCCACATAAGTAGCATATGATGAGGGTGAGGCATAGAATGTATTTTGGCAGAAGATTGATAAGGAACGAACAGGAATGAAGTGCAATCGGGACGAAAATGCATGAACAATGAAATTAGGGAAGACCAACTGATATTTGCAGAAGGAACAATTAAGATTGAGACAATTAATTGTTATTTTGCAGATTAACTGTTTAATGTATGGTTATCAGAATTTAGTGGGATAGTCTGTAATTTGTGCTTAAATACATTCGATTGTCCCCCACCCGTGTTCTTGTTCACTACGATATCACTAGTATTCTTTCACTCAGATTTATTTCGTTACATTTTCTTGATATTGAACATTGAAACGTAAGTGATTCATCGTTTCTTTTATCTGCAACTTTGTCTATTGATAAAATCATCCTGAAACAAGTGAAACTGACTTTCTAGTTTATTTATTACTGTGAATTTTGTTTTATCACAACACACTTTTATACTATAGTTGAATGATATATAAACTAGCTTTTCAATTTGTAGAGATGTGTTTATTTATTACCGGGATGCGAATATTTTTATAGTCATATAGACAATATCAAATAATAGGGTTACAGTCGATCAAATATGATAAGATATGAAATGTTTATTGTTTGATAAAGTATGAATGCAGTGAGAGCTTAAATAAATTAAACGTTGTCAATTTTCAAAATCTATGTATTCTACTCATCTGTTTTATCAAACAAAAATTTTGTACATTTTGAGCAAAACATCTGAAACTAATCCTCATCTTTTGCATTCACTACAACGTTGCCGACCATTCATAAAAAAATATACGCTGAATCAGTCTGTCTGTTTAAAATTTACATCCGATATTATGGCTCACATCAAAACTTTTACCGGCCGTTTGAATATACTCAGAGAAATAGCTTGTGGTGTAATTCGTGAAGGAAATCACCTGTACTTCTTCGTTATACTATAATTAGGATTCATGGTAAGCGCTAAAATAATCTAGTCAGTCATACAATTTAGTTTGGCTATCTTTTCTTGATATTTTAGGGGGAAAATTGTATTCCCTTATTTCGTATTGCTGCAAGAAAAATTAATTATAAGATACGAAATGAGACAGCTTCAAATGGATTAAAGATGAATTGATCAATTGCAATTAACACAGTTGTAATATATAGTGAATTTCCTTCACTGCAGCTGAACTTTGCAAACTATTAACGTACAATATATATATATATATATTCTAGCTCTCCACAATCCTGTATGGATTAGATAAAAATAATAGAGTTTGTAAAACAAAAAATTAAAACATTACTTCATTTCAATAATCTAATACTATAGTAGTAGTATGATCTCAACATAAATTGATAAAAACTATTCCAAACGATCATAAATTAAGGTTAGTTTATAGAATTTTTGGGAAACCTGAAACAGCGTTTGCTTGTTATCTAACATTATATTCCTTAAATCCTTGAATTACATCTCTTACCAATCAAACTAACACAAAAGTTGCTAGTTATGGACTTGCTTTCAGTGTAAATATAAATAAATCCACTGAAAACTGAAATACTGTGGTTTATTTAGTTGGTGGAACAAATATTTGCCGGACAAGTTGGACAAAATCTCAATGGACTTGGACTAACCGACTGGCTCCCAATTTTAAATGTGACATGAGTTATTAAGTCATATAACAGATGTGAGGAAGTCAGAAAATTGCTTGTACATTTGCGGGTAATGTATTCTATACATCATTATCATCACTAATCGTGTATTTTTCATTTCAAACGATATTGCCAGTTACAAAATCATAGATATAATCATGTTACATCACCCAATCGCAACTTTTGGCGCATGTATTGTTTTGTAAAACATTTCAACTAACACTATTATTTTGCCCGTCCTATGATAGTAGAAGTATCCTTAAATTAAAGGAAAAATCAGGATTTGGGAAACGCTTCTATGTTCCCCTAAGTTACATACATGAACAAATAATATAAACTGAGCCTTTGCTATTTACTAAATAGACTGTTTCTCCAAAAAACAGGGAGTTAAATAGAGTGATCTCTGTACACCCTTCGCTTTACAAGTATGTATCATTGTCGATATGCTGCACAGATAGACCAAAATCTGAAGAAGAATAAGTTTGTCCTTGTATACACGAAACACTATGGGGCTCGCAGCTAAAACACACAGTCCGTGCATTTAAAATGCATGGGTATCGCCTTATTCCCCAAAAGACAACTAGTCCTCTGGATAATTGTGTTATCACTTATTACTGCATCTTTATCTTTTGATAGAAAGTTTGCGTGGTACTTGTGTTGAATTATATAAACACGCAGATAAATAAGTGAGTTTGAAAACGTATATAACATTGCTATAGCACTAGTTTACTATCATACGATTAAAAATTATAACAGATAAATCTACACCTTATAGGAAAAACGGTTGAATTTAGACTACTTTTTTAATCTTGCAAACTATGCCGCACTGGGGTTACTGAAATGTTACCTATTATGTAAAAAAAAATCCCACAAACATTAGCTAATAAACTCTTCAGACTAAACGATAATTCATCCTATTGGTCTGTCGGTGTATAGTACATTTTATTAACGTTGTGAAGACTACTAAGTAAACTGGAGCAAAATGTGGATTGAAGAAATCCCAAGCAATACCGTGAAATATATTTGAGAGGAATCCAAAACTCTACTTTAGCCATTATCTGAACCAATATTTAATACTATATAGTAATTTGTCTAAAATCTTAGGAAATGAGTGGCACAGTTTTGTTTAAATTTCAATGACATCAGTTTTACACTGCTTTTAGTTTGAAAGCAAGTCCATCATTATTAGGGAAAGTCTAGACAGTTCAGTGTTTTATTTCATTTTTGGTTGTCTACAACCATTTATTTTGACTTCAAAGCGAACACGGGTCGCTGTAAATCAACCTAATACGTCCCTCAACTTCAACGACAACATGCAAATCACTGGAAATAGTAGCCTACCACCGAACACGTTTGCATTCATCTGTGATCAGTATCCAGGGTAATCGACAGTAGACTATCATAGAGATTACGGTCAAGTTTATTACACATTGTTTAAATCAACAGTTGAATGCAGAGTTATCAGGTCAAAGAGTCTAGATGGGAAAAAACGAGTGTTGCCGACTCTACCTCTAGTCATAGTTTACATACTAAGCTTTGGTGTGAGAAAGCTAATACAAGTTCATGGAAGATGTTTTAAACCGTAACGATGGAAAATGAAAGGATACCGAAACAATATATATATAAGTGATAGACAAAGATCATACACATTCGGCAAACTGACGGCTTGACGGATGACTTATGTCAAAACACTGACTTATGTTTGATTTGACCTCGAATAACCAATAATGTGTTCAAATAAATAACCAAAAATACTGCGTCTCAATGATGTATGGATTAGGTACTTAACTGATTTAAAACTCGTGACGAAGTGTCGTTTATCATATCACTTATTGAAATTAAAGGAGGCTTGATCAATAAAATTCTGCATTATTATTTATCTGAGAAACTTTAAACAAATTGTGTCATGAAACCTGAATGCTTAGAATGGTTAATTTCTCAGTTTAAACACTAACCGCTTGTCAGTAGTCGTTTACGTCAAAAATATCTATTTTACATCTCTCCCTTCAAATAACTTTCCTTACGTCAAACATTCTGAACTATTTCATTGTCAGTTTGTGATTGCAGATTGTCACTCATTGTCTGTACGCGAACCTTTGCCCGACTGAAGGTTTGATTTTATGGCAAAAATAACAGTCGCCTGGTGTTTGTGTGAACTAATGATTCTTTTATACCCAACGGCTGCCTTATTTCGAATTCCAAATATAACAGATTCATCTATGTCCGCTTAGTTCTTTGTGGCATGAATTACGTTATCTTGGAAATTCCTAAATCGCACAAAAATTTAAATACTTCAAACCATTACAAGTCTTTCGAATCGCTTCAGTTCCAATAGTGACGTATACACGTATCAATGTGTTCTTTAAGTGTTACCTAGATAACGATGCCTAAACAAGTTCGGTAGGTAAAACCACTCTGCTGATTGACGGATTTCGAGAAGCCAAATACAAAATCGACTAAAAGAAACCCTTATTTTAATTTAAGCTTTTAATTATTCTTAGTTCTCTCGTTGTTAGGCCTTGGATATGTTGGAGGCCGTAGGATTCGTCAGAGATTTATGATCACAGTAAATTATGCAGTAATAGTAGTTCTGTTGAATATTTTGATATGGAAATGATGCTCAAATTTACCCATTATCGAATTTTATTGATTTAACTTTGACAGTTTCGGTTGCCTCACAACCTGAAATCTTCCCGTGAATTAATCTGTTAACAAAAATACTCTTGTATGCTTAAGTTGTTCAAAGCTTTTCATCACTCACATCGTCAGCAACAAACCGAAATGGCAACATATAATCGCTCAAAGCTGATCCGACATCAAATTATTTTTACTGTAAGATGAGAGAAGGCTGGAGATGAGCTCACATACTAATAGAGTGACGTATCCAGTTAAATCTTTGATTCGGTAAACTTTTGTATGCTTGAGATATAAATTTGAGTAATCTGATAACGACCCCAAGAAATGCCTGACAGTGCCATAAAACCAGACAAATAACGGATAACAACTGGTCAGTTTGAAATTTAGGCCTGGCAATTAGATAGGGATGATTTTGTAAAAATAAGTAAATGGTGACTTTATACAGTGACAGCATTAACTAAACGTAGTACTAGAAAAATTGACACTAGACTGAGAGATCTTAAGTAACGTTTACCATAACTACGCCATAACATTCTCAGAATCTCCGACTAACATTCTTTAAATATTACACCATAGAAAAGAACTAGTACAGATTTTGAATTTTGACAAGTTAAACCTTTTATAGTGCTTACAAACCACCAAAACATTAATATTTATTTTGCAGCTTATGAAACCTCTGATATAAGATAAAACGTCTTTATAATATTAGACGAACGTAAAATTTCCAAGAAATTTTGATATGCATAAACTAACCTCGGCCTGGCAGACCTCCATACGAAGATTATCGTATATTTTTGTGGGTAAGTCGAATACGTTTTTCACATATTTGTCAATAACTTCAGGGCTACATGAAACGCTGCTGCTGGATTTCCCTATTTGATTCTTTATAGTATATTGCACCCTAACAAATAAATACTCGACCTAAAAGAATAAAGACAGAAATCTAAGAGTTACATCGATTTCCTCCAAATCATCTTTGACGGTTTGAGACTCTTCCGGAATCTCAGAAGAAAATAATTTGTGATTTAGATCTGAAACACTTTTCTCCAGTTCCTCACAGGATAAATTCATGAAAAGTTTACAGTCGGCCATTGAAGTTTCGCCAGAAAATTTAATTATATCCGTTCACTACTTCCGTTCCACAATGATTATTTTTCTTCTCGATAGTATGAGAGCATTTTCATAAACGTTCTCTTTATCGTAGGCTAACAAGTGAATGATTCAAACAATTCAGAACGGTTTTGCTTTTACATATCACTTTACGAGAGTATATACCCTGAAGCATGCTTTTTACAATATATTTAAACGTTTTATTTAGATTTTGACAACATAAGGAAGATTTGACCAGTTCTCTCAGTGAAAATCTTCAAATGGAAGCTTGACAGTCATGTACCTACCATCTTCCTCCTGGAACGGTCACGGAACCGACCCATGAAGCAGTGATCGCACTCTGTTCCTTGTACCTACCCTTAATAACATATTTCAGTAGTGATGCGGTTTGTGTTGTACGATCATCAAAACAGCCATAGTACTTTCATGTGATGAAAGGGTTATCCACGTCATGTACTAAGAGTGAGGAGTGACTTCGACGTTACCTGGTTTGTCACACCATTTCCATCCAACTCAAGTAGACTCCTAACCAGTCGAAAGAGAATAACTATGACAGTGATCTACGATATTTGATCTACTTTCATTTTCCAAAACCAGTGTATACATATATATATATATATACAAAGGTTTGTAGATCAGCTTTTTAAACCTCTTATAAATTAGTTTTAGACAAAAGTAAGCGATCAATAGTCTCAGTTTCTTTACGCATCTTAAATAAACAGTACTTTTCATCTCTCAGACGGGCAGGTCAGAAGCTTCATAACCCACAACTTCAGAACCAGATTACTTATCATAACTTTATTTTCTAATCTCGAATAACCAAACTCTTACCATTTATAAACAATATCTATTGTAAGAGTAAGAATACCTAACAAATTCCTGAAAAGTGTTTTATTGGATATAATTTTCATTTCTTTGTTTTCTCACTCCATCTTTTACTTAAACTCAGGCCTTTTGTGAACACGTTCTTCAATCTCCTATGTCTGGGTTCCTATTATTTGGCTTCGGTTAAGATTTACCTCTATTATTTCGTTCTGCTGTTGTATGCTTCTGGGTCATTGATAGTAAGATAAAGTTTGATTAAATTTGAGGCTCGAATGATGACTGTTGACCTTCTACTGCTTGCTGCAAACGGTAACTCGAATGCTTGAAAATCGATTTCGGACACCGCGAGTCACAATAGTTCGTTCGGTAAACCTCTTCTACTCTTTTCTCTTTATCCGTTCTGCGCCCATTTCACAGCATAGTCGTGAGACAACACTAAAAATATGTATATGAAAGGTATGATTTTAGACCTCATCTTGTATTTTATTCCTGATGTCTCAGAAAGGTTTATAGCACACAATACTGGAAAAGTAGAATAGCAACTATCTGTAGACTGCTAGAATGAAGTGTAGTGACCGTTGTTTTGGATTTCGGTATCGATTTCCAACAGCACTATAAATTGCTTGTCGATTCACCTAGGATGCAGCTAACCGATACTTCGTCGAACAGTAAATTCATGGACTTCAGAGCTAATATAAACGCGTACCGAATCATAGGTTCATTTCATTCGTGTGACGATGTATTCTGCGCCTTACTCCAGAAATTCCTCCAATTAACTTAAACCTTCCGAGCAGGTCCCATAGGTGACTAATCGTTTAGTACACCACATAGTCACCTGCGGACCACCAGTCACGGCAAAACTCCACTCACTAGCACTGGACAAATTAGCCTTTGCTAAACGCGAGTTTTACAATTTACGGGCTGCTTGTGTTATTCGTCCTTCTCACCGTCCCTGAGCCTCGCCTCTCCACGTGGTACGCAAAAAGGATGGGGTTAGTCGGAGACCATGTGGCGGCCACCGGTCATTAAACGTAGCTACGCGATTTGATAGCTACCCCCACATACACTAAATCACGGCATCACTCAAGCACATGATTAGTTTTCCTAAGATCGATCTGGTACGAGCATATGATCAGATCCCAGTCTCTCTTGAAGACATTGAGAAAACCGCTATCACGACTCCTCTGTTTGAGTTCCTACGAATTCCATTTGGGTTATAGAATGCTGCTCAAACTTTCCAAAGGTCTACCGATAGCATAGCATGAGATTTAGATTTTGTTCACGTCCATATTGGTGACCTGTCAATCGAATAATCAAACGCAGATGAATATTATCAGCACCTGACACTACTATTCCAGCATCTTTCGATTAACGGAATAATAGTCAACCCAGACAAGTATGAACTTGGCAAGCCAGAAATAAAAATCTTAGGTCATATTATTAAGCAACAGGTTATTATACCTTGTGAGGACAAAGTATGTACAATTATGGAGTACACCGTGCCGTCCACACTCGAACAACTGAAGGCGTTTCTCGGTTCGGTTAACTTCTACCGACGTTTCATTCCACACGCGGTAGAACGGTTATGACCATTAAGTGACTTACGTCGCGGGAATCCACGCAAATTGGTTTTGAACTATGCTGTATGCACTCCATTTTCAGAGATCAAAACTACTCTAGCTCAGGCCACACTCCTCGCTCATCTTGACTCATCAGCCATGCTTAGTATGGCGGTTGATGCATCGGATTTTCCCATAGGAACCGTCCTGCAACAGGACATCTCCGGAAGATGGCAACCTCTCGTATTTTTCTCACGACGCCTCGCTTCCACGGAGACGAGATATAGAGCTTTTGGTCGAGAACTCTTAGCAACTTAGTGTACCACCAAACATTTCATTTTATTCACCAACCATAAAGCTTCGACGTATTTTCTAACCGCTACCCACCACTAGAGTGCAGACATATGGACTACATCTCTCACTTCACGACAAACCTTCTTTACTTTAAAGGCGAGTCGAACTATGTTGCCGATGCTCTGTCACGTGTCCAAGTGAATGCAATTGCTTTACCGTTTCTTGATCTCTCTGCTATGACCACCGCCCAAGCAAGCGATCCCTCCTGTAAGAAAACACAACATTCCACATCACTTCAGCGCCGAGAAATACCCCTAGCCACTAGCTCAGATACTATCCTGTGTAACAATTCTACTGGTCTTCCCCGATCCATTGTACCCTCTGCTTATCGTCATCTCATTTTTGATTCCTTGCATAGACGGTCTCATCCAGGCATCGCAGCGGCATTACGCCTCATTGCTGAACGATGCGTTTGGCCGTCCAAGATGTCCGTATGCGGGTAAAGCAATGCTTACACTTTCACTGATCAAAAGTACATAGACATGTAACTGCTCCCATTGGCAGGTTCACTATGCCCGATGCTAGATTCGATCACATTCACATAGACATTGTGGGACCATTGCCACCATCGCACGGGTATGATCACATACTCACATGCACCCATCGTTTCACAACATGGCCCGTAGCTATTCCCGACACGTCTAATAGGATGGAGATAGTAGCTTACCGCTTCGCAGAACAATACATAGGTCTGTACTATTGTCCCTGGACTGCCACGACTGAACGAGGACAACAATTTGAGTCCAAATTTATTCTCCTCGCTCACCAGACTGCTTGGTACGGAACGCATACCCACTACCGCCTACCACCCAGCATCAAATGGCTTAGTTGAACGGTTTCATCTCCCACCTTAAAGTGCACTTCAAGCTCACTGAAACAACAATTGATACGTAACCTTACCGCTCGTCCTCTGGGGTATCAGAACGAGCTTGAAGGCAGATATTCAGTGTTCAACCGCTGAACTTGTTGACGGCACGATATTGCGTCTATATGAGGAATTTTCCACACCACGGAGTGGTAATAATTTTGGTGAATCAGACTACGTCTAATTGTCTGAATATATGCGAACACTGCCCCCGGTGTCAACTCGTATGCGACTTCGACAGGTCACTCTCCCTCGAGAGTTATCTTACTATTCACATGTTTTCATACGAGTAGATGCGGTACGCAAACCTTTACAGCAGCCTTTCGTAGGACCTTTTCATGTGATTCCCCGTCACGAAAAAACCGTCAAGGTCGATCGACACGGCTGTGTTGAGACAGTCAACATTCATCGTCTCAAGCCATGAGACGTCCAGGACAGTGCCCTACCTGATAAGTTGAGTCTCAATGCTATGCCCATCAAACCATCTCTACATCAACTCTGGATTCCACGCTAGATACATCAGAGACCTCTTTCTCATGTCAGGCAGCAGCACGTGTCATCTGCACAATCTACGGACGAGACTTCAGTCTCACGTCCAGATCAGCAGACCACGTTTTCCTTGACTTCAGATGACATTGCAGTCTCATGAGGTAAGAACGAGACTACCGTCTACGTTCCGGTCACTGAGTACGTCCACCCGTACGCTTTCGCGATTAACCTCCCAATAAACAACGGATCTGGAATAGGACGCTATCCCTTTACTAAATGCCCACTACACCATTCTCTTTTCCTTTCATTTTTTTTCCTGAGCCCACGCCTCCTACTATTGTCCTGTTGATACCATTGACTTCAGTCAACCTTGGCGAAAGGTAGCCTGATCACCCACGCTCGTGCCAAAGCACTGAGTCAATGTATCTGGCTCCAAATATGTCCAGCATATGTATGGTCTTGAAGCTGGTTGTTATGGTCACTTCTGGTTTCTTGGCTCAATGTTGGTACATTCTAAGTCTGCAGTGTCCTCCGCTCCGGACCACTATCAACGCAACCCTCAGATACTGGATACAAACCACCTTGGTGTGGCACGCTAACTCAAGTAGCATGTTACTCCTGGTACCGTCTTACATCAAAGACCTTCAGTGACAACCGGAGGATCAACGATCGCTTCCTATTCGTCAACCCTTTCATCCTACGATCACACGTTTACCGATCAGCCCCACGAACGAAATCGCTACTTACCAAAGTGTAAACTCTTTTTAGCGGGGAAATACTGTATTGACCAACTTTAATGAAGACAACACGATAAGTATAGCGAAAACAATTATTATTATTATAATCAATTGTACCAGTGATCATTTTATTGTAACTGTTTGTTTAAGTGTACAAAAAATACACTTTCTTCCGTCGTCTGTGGTCCTGCACTAACTCGCATACGCTCGGTAGTTAAGCTTGTAAACTTCTGCACGACCTTGGTATTCTTACGATACCACGAGATCGCCCACAA